AAATAAGAAATACTACTATTGTACTACTTCACTGCAAAAAAAAAATCAAGTTTTTAAGAAAAATAACACTACTAATAATAATTAGATTTCATATTACAATTGTAAAATTACAGTACTAATATTTATGGCTGTCTTAAATTCTTCATTTTCAAACGTTAACCCATCAAACTTTTATTCTGATGGAAAACTGCAGGAAGCCTGTAGAGTTTCTCTAAGCTATATCACAATTTCAGTTTTATTTGAAAAAATATATTTTTATTTATTAAATATTGCATTTCTTAATACTTTTTTTTTTGTCTAAGTTTAACTGGAAAACATCTAAACAGCCTTAAAACAAGATTTAAATTTACTGGAAAAGAAATTTGCATGATATATTTTAATTTGTTTACAGAGAAACTTTTTTGTTTCTACATTTTAGCGTGAATCTAACAAAGTTTAGTGAGTGTTATGCTTAAAACATGCAAAAACTACTTGCCAGTTGGCTCATATCTACAAAAAAAAGGAAAAAAGAAAAGAAAAAAATCTCCCATTAACTGCACTGTTGTTTTTCAGAGGAAGTGAGAGCATTTTCCAGTTTGATCGAGGCTTTGAGGTGTGAAGACACACACACACAATCTGTAAAATCTTAACAGCAAATGTCAGGGCCTAAGTGACCTAGCCTGATCATTTGAGGAAGTGGAATTCCTCGCAGGGTGTGGATTACACAAACAAAACACACTTACGCACGGAAAAACATTGGCTCGCTGAAAGGGGATATTGAGCAGCTGGGAAAGCGCTGATAAATTGGATGCCACCTGATCTGTAATTAGGCCAGCGCTCTACAGAGACCTGAACTCACCAAAATCATCAACTCAATGCCTTTCTGCTCAAGTGTTAACTTCATGCAGTCTTTTTATGGCTCTTTAACAACTCTATGAACTTTAGGTTCACACAAAAATGAAATCTCTGTCATCATTTAGTCACCTTCACGTCCTTCCAAATCCATATGACTTTCGTTCATCTTTGAAACATATACTTGAATCAAATCTGAGAGATTTTTGTCCTTCCACTGAAAGTTCAATCCACCAAAACTTTCAAGCTGCAAGGAGTTCATAAAGACATTGTAAAAGTAATCCAAGTTTTTTGAAAAGACATGATTGTTTTTTCCTAATTTTTTTTTTTCAAATATATTTCAAAAGGTACAAAAAAATGGCCAACAAAGTATTTTTGCTAAAATATGTTAATAAGTTCATATGTAAATATATTATTATTTTCTAATAATATATGTTTTTGTATATTTTTTTTAAATATACAAACATATATTCTAAAAATAAAAAGGCTTTTAAAAATAAATTTTTCCTTCCATATATTTAAATCCAAGACAATACATTCACGTGTCAAACATGAAGAAAACCCTTATTTGTAGTCTCTAACACATATAACACATTTTAATAAAAACCAGTAAGCAACATACTTTACAATATTCCAAAAAACTACAGTTTTACAATATATTACAAAACATTAAACATTAAGGAATCATTATAAATCTAGTTTTGATCTCGTAATAGGCTATTCCATCCACATTTGCATTTAGTCTAAATGTAGGCTACTGTAAGATTGAAAATGTATTTTGGTATAAACTTTGAAACTAAATATATTGTCGTTTTCTTTTGTTTTGTTTGTTTTTTTTTCAGTATGGGACAGAATTTTCATTTTTGGGTGAACTATGCCATTAAGTATATATGCCTGATTTCTAGGCCACTAATGATGCCAAGTACAATCACAAAAGAAAATAGATTTTTAGATACAAAAATTTGGATGGTGCCTGCCTGTGCAAAACTCACCGCAACCGTGTGTGTCGCAAGTGTTCCACATGAAGCTTTACTTGTGCATATATTCTCACTGTCTCTGTAATAAAAGCCCAAATGTAAGCCCTGCGTGTTTTCACACGTTTATTTTCAGCTACTGTACACTCTATCAGAATCTCTTTTATTAAAGCCAAAAATTGACTGGTGTGGGGCAAATGGAGAAGAACCGTGCTTCAAGAACGTTCTCACTGATACAGTGTGTTTGCTGCTCTTTCTGCTTCATCTTTTGATGAATAGCTTTAAGATGTGGTGATTCAGTTGTTATTCTGTTAAAGGGGTCATATGATGCAATTTCAAGTTTTCCTTTCTCTTTGGAGTGTTACAAGCTGTTCGTGAATAGATAAGATCCCTAAAGTTGCAAAGATTAAAGTCTCAAACCCAAAGAGATATTCTTTATAAAAGTTAAGACTTGTCCACGCCCTCCTAAAACGCCTCGTTCTAACACGCCCCCACATGTCTACGTCACTGTGTGGGAAGATTTGCATAAAGCCGCCCAAATGTTCACGCAAAGAAAGAAGGCGTAACTTTTATTCTCGCTGTAGTATTGTTGCTGCCGCCGTCATGTCGTGAAGACGCTGTGTGTTTCGTTGTGAAAGCGAAACTACTTTGTTTGGTCTTCCAAAAGAGGACACAACTAGAAATCAGTGGTTAAGTTGTATTTACAACACTGTTCCAGAACACTTCAACCCAAATATTCAGATGCGTGCAGCACATTTTATGGAGGAAAGATTCCTGAACCTGGGAGAGTAGCCTACAAAAGGTTGTGTCTACAAAGTGGGGCAATTCCAACTTTGCAAGGACAGTCTGGCGTTTCTGACTCACAGACTGTAAGTACGTTTTCATATTTAAAGAATTTGCCACTGACGATTCAAACGCGAGTTTGTTAAAATCGACGCGTTTCAGAAAGGCGGGGCATAGAGGAGAAACAATAATGTTCAGTATGTGGAAAATAATGTGTTTTTTTAACCTTAAACCACATAAACACATTTCATTACACCAAATACACAAAATAATGTTCTTTTTAGCAACATCATATGACCCCTTTAAATAAAAAAATTGTTTATGCAGTAAATTATATTTAAGTTCTTAAGAAATGCTAAAAACAAACCCTTTGGTCAATCAACAGATGAGTCCCACCACAAACTCAGACCACTCAAAAAACAGAGAAATGTTTTGGAAGCACCACAGAGTCACAGTCTTGTTCAGGAAGTCAAGCTACCGATAGCTTTCAGTCGCTACACATTACACTGGAATAAAAGAAAGTGTTTTACCAAAAATATTACATGCTTTAAGTTCTAATTTAGTTTAGTTCCTTCCTTTGTGTAAAGTAACTGTAATGCTACAAATAGAGAGTGAATGTGAAAGGGTGAGCGAGCGAAACAAGGGTGTGAGAGCGAATGGGAGAGAGAGTGAGAGAAACAGCTGGCCCGAGCTCTCAGTGGTGACACGAAACGGAAGTCAGGGTTCAGCAATCTCCTTTTCCTCTTTTCTTCAATTCATGACCTCTCTCCGCACTCCGACAGCGAGACCCGCTCAATAGCTCGCACATGCACACACAAACACTCACGCGGACACCTGTTATGCAGACAGAGCAAACCACTAATTATCTCTCAGACATATCCTCAGACACTTTACTGCATCCAAACAGTGACTGTTTCTGCTTAGCAGGACTGATCAACATCTTTTGGAGGTCTTGGAGCAACAAGTCCTAAACATAAGCATTGACTACAACTACAAACAGAGGGAAATGTTAGGCTGAAAAGAAAGTTCCTTCACTTGTGAATGAAAAACTACAAATGAGAACTAATTGTAATATCTCAACTGTTTCTCTAAAAAGGAAATTAAATTGAGAGCAAACTGAGACTACTAAATTAAGATAGATGGGTGACATGTCTGGAGCTATTAACCTAAAAAATACATAAAAAAATGCACTTCATACAGAAAATGACTTGAAAACATCTTCTATGATAAATTTGTTTTCAATTTCTTAATTAAAAGTCTTTTTTTACATGTGGTTTAAAGGAAACATTTATATAAAGATAAAAAAAAGTCTTATTACAATGCTGAAATTCATTTAAAAAATGATGGCGTAAGAGGTTTGCAGTTAGGGATGCACCGATATGAAAATTTTGGCCAATACCGATAACCGATAATTCTTTATTTTTGAAAGCCGATAACCGATATGTTGGCCGATAAATCTATATCCAAATTTTTATATACTTTTTGAGAGCTTTTAGTTAGCTAGTATTTTTAGTTATTTTTTTTACCTAATCAAAATATCCCAACTGCAGTTTGATTGAGATTAATTGAAATGCACAATGAAAAAACATGATTTTTGAAAAATAACATTTTTTTAAATATATACACGTGTGTGTGTGTATTTATATATACATATAAATATACACAGTACGCACACATATTTTGTGTAAACAAAAACTTTTATTTTGGATGTGATTAATTGCAATTAATCTAATTATATATAATTTTTTCTTCTTTTTTTTTTCACTCTTCATGACTCTAAATGTCATTATATTTAAATATATTACTTAAAAAATTATGTTTGAATACTTTTTGGAAGTTTTTACTTCATGGTTACACCACTTGACATTTTAGCATTATTACACCAAAAGATCTGCACATTGTAAAAAAAAAAAAAAAAAAAGGATTATTTATGAAAATACTATTTCAGTCTTTCTACTTCAAAATTTCACATTTAATCCAACATGTTTTTTTTGTAATTTCTTTGTAATTTGTGAAATTTACTAGCATTTTCAGATTTAAATTTGTTTCTACACCATTTTTTTTTCAGAGTAGAAAACTACATAAACATTGACAGATATAATATTTCTATAAACTTGACACATTTTTTAATCAATATTTTCTTTTAAACTAGACATTTTTGTGGCCTCATTGACCCAAATGCTATTTAGACTAGACGCAAGAGGATGTAAATGCTGATATTGTTTGCACTAAATGTACAAATAGCATCTCGTTTACATTAAGTGCAAATAGTGATCAATGCTACCCACACAAAGTGAAAGCAATATGCTATTTGTACTAAGGCTAAACTGTCTGAGCAATAATGGCAGAAACTTCACCATAAACATATTGAAACAGCCCGTAGAAAACACATTGTTGTGCATATATTCTCACCATCTCCGTTAAGTCAGCAACAGTGTTTGCACCCGGACAGCAAATGAAACAATAAATCAATCCCTCATTCAACACACCGTATCACACAGAACCAAGAACAAGTACTGTACGTTTCTCACATGCCACAAAGACAAGAAAGACACTGCCTTCCCATTTCCTTTTCTCTTCTCTCTGTGTGGTGGTGACCTCCGTCACAGAGAGACCATAAACAGCGAGCAGAACACTTTCAGACTGGCGGGAGGGAAGAATGAGAGCAGATGAATGCACAGAAAAACAACACAAGCAGGGGAGTTTGAAAATCACAGTCAGAAGGGTTTGTGAGAGTAGGAGGAGGTTTGAGACACAAAAAAAAGGTTGAGGGACAATCAACGGGGGAGTTTTCTGAAGGGATGATGATAGCGGGAAAAGTAAACAGTTTTGCCTACTAAAAACGCCTGGGGTGGCTTCTTGATTTGTGCAACATCATGACAAAGTAGAGGACAGTTCTTAAAAAATTAAAGTAACACCCAGAAAAAGAGAGAAAGAGAGAAAGTGAGTTGTAAAAATGATCTTCATCCATTGGTTAGTGCATGCTCACACACTGATCCATGGTGCTCATGTGGGCAACATAAGTTTGAATCTTGCTTGCAACATTAATTTATTCTCAGCCAGGTGAAAATATGAAGTCTACGGAGCCCCTAAGAGAACATGGAGATGGTAAAACAGAAAAAAGTATATTTTAGTGATTTAGCATTCTCTCGCAAAACATTTGTGTTTGTGATGGAAATAATTTGAGGTGGTTTTGCAATTGATTGCAAATGTAGTGAAGTGAAGTGACATGTGGCCAAGTATGGTAACCCATACTAGGAATTTGTGTTCTGCATTTAACCCATCCAAGGTCCACACACACAGCAGTGAACACACAGACACCGTGAACACACACCCGGAGCAGTGGGCAGCCCGTTTTATGCTGCAGCGCCCGGGGAGCAGTTGGGGGTTCGGTGCCTTGCTCAATAGCACCTCAGTTGTGGTATTGAAGGTGGAAGAGAGCGCTGTACATTCACTCCCCCCACCTCCAATTCCGGCCGGTACGAGACTCGAACCCACAACCTTTGGGTAATGAGTCCTACTCTCTAACCATTAGGCCACGACTTCCCCATTGATTGCAAATGTAGTGAAGTGAAGTGACATGTGGCCAAGTATGGTAACCCATACTAGGAATTAGTGCTCTGCATTTAACCCATCCTAAGTGTGCACACACACAGCAGTGAACACACACCCAGAGCAGTGGGCAGCCATTTATGCTGCGGCGCCCGGGAAGCAGTTGGGGGTTCGGTGCCTTGCTCAAGGGCACCTCAGTCGTGGTATTGAAGGTGGAAGAGAGCGCTGGTTATTCACTCCCCCCACCTACAATTCCTGCCTCCTTTGGGAGGAATTGTCCCTCGCAACCTTTGGGTTACGAGTCCGACTCTCTAACCATTAGGCCACGACTTCCCCCTTGTAGTGCGAGTGAGCGGACGCAAAATTTATCTGGGGAACACAAAAGCATTAAAATACTTTTTTTTCTTTTAAATAAGCTTTTTCTTTTTTTTTAACTCTGATTTACGTCACAGTATGGAAGAAAAGATCCGTCGCTACTTCCATGTTATCGTTTTAATACATAATGTTAGGGATTTGTTCAAATTGCTCAAGTTTGATCATATGATAATGATGCTTGCACTCTAAAATGCCCCAAAATAGAGACAGTTTAGTTTATTATTTATTTACACATTAAGCCATGGTGCTCTTGTGGGCAACACAAATTCGAATCTTGCATGCAAAAATGGTCATTTCCCAGGTCCGATTTCATAGAAAAGTAGCAGCAAAACTCTCCTGTACAAGCCACATGATTTGCGGTATCATTCGCGGCTGTATCATTTCAAATACTTTCTAAAGTTGAACACAATTTAAGATGTTTAGCAGAATTTTCATGCTTCCCCTTTCCATATAAATGTATGGTGACCAGTGGCTGTCAAGCTCCGAAAGGTAAAAATAACAGAATAAAGCACCCGAAAATTAGTCTAAATGTCTCATATATTCCAAATCTAAATTTGACATATATTTCTGAATCATCAGTTTCAACATCTTCATAAGTGTTCCACAGAAGAAAGAGAGTCATATGGGTTTTATAAGAGTAAAAAACAAATAAATCCAAGCTAAAATAACATGGGCTCGACTATCTCACAGTTTGTAACGTACATTTACATCAAGCTGTTTAGAGTATCCACCGGGACATACCACATAAAAACAAACCGCAACCCTTCCTTTCCTCAGTACATATTCGCTTCACAGAAACTCCCATTCAAAATGACCCCACCAGCCTCTATTCCCACAGTCCTCTGGATGCTCATTCATAGAGACTTCATTCAGGCTGCCGGCTCAGAGTGTGCTAACACTTCTGCACCGTTAGAGGGGGCTTCCATTGTGGCCGGTTGAAGGGTACAGGAACAGAGAGCCGTACTGTTGTGGTACAAAAGGCCATTCTGTTCTGTGCCGGCGGCCCATCATGGCCTGATGTAGTTAGACACTTGAGTGCACTTCACACGAGCCCCCCTTCCACTGAAAACCAATAAGCAGAACGTATGAAGACCTGCTGATAGCTGCTCTTTGTGAAATTGTGTTTTTGACATTCAAGTAAAATAAAAAAAACACCTATATACATACACAATCAGTGTTGCCCAATTCTTACTGTTCACATTTTTGCCGTATTGCAAAAAATAATAATAAATAAATAAAATAAATTCATAAATTCTGAGACCACACTGAAATTTTTTTTTTTTTTTTTAAATGCAAAGGAATGTAGATTACATTAATGCTCCCGCAGCTTAAACAGTAGAGCATTGTGCTAGCAAGACCAAGGTCATTGGATTGATTTTTAGGGAAAGTATGAACTGATAAACAATATACCTTAAACGCAGTTTAAGATACAAGCATCTACAAAATGCATAATGTAATATTTATTATTTTAAGCACATTTATGACACTGATCATGTGAACACTTTTGTACAAACATAATCATCAGGATTCACACAAACTTATGAAGTTCATGCAGCTCAGGTGTTGCTAGTGAAATTGTGAAAAATCAAATACTAAGACTTTTGGAGAGAAATAACTATTAGGAATTTCATTCAGGATTTAGACCATATCATAGCACTGAAACTGCACTCATCAGAGGGCTTTTATCATGATCATGATTGCATCACTCTCTTAGTATTACTGGTGCTTAATGCTGATACTACTGACCACAACATTGTCTTAAATAGGCTTGAAAATGATGTTGGAATTAGTGGAATGGCATTAACATATAGTTTACATCTTATTTATCTGACTGTTGTCACTTTGTAGCAAGAAATGTAAAGGTGTCATATAAATCAAAATTTCGATGGTGTGCCGCAAGGCTTAATACTAGGACCGCTTTTTTAAATAATATAATCAGTTCTATATCCTCTCGAGGTCAGACAAAACCTACAAATTCTCTAAATGAATGAATTGCATATTAAAAGATAAACTACTAACTATTGCTTAAGTCAGAAAAAAAACAGAGGTCTTATACTGAACCAAAAACCTCCAAACATAATAACCTAGAATACAATGTGTTTCTTGATGGATGTTCTGGCAAGGCCTTGGTCTTCAGTTAAGAACCTGGGTGTACTATTTGACAGTATTCCAAGCCACATTTCTTACATTTGTAAAACAGCATTTCTCCATATTATAAATATATCTAAATTACATCAATGTCAAAAGACAAATTCATGCATTCATGACCTCAAGACTAGATTATTGCAATTACTGCGTGGATGTCATGCAAGTTCAACTGATCCAAAATGCAGAAGCTAGAATGCTTACTAGAATATCTAGAATTAAACAAAACATTTTGAAGTTATTGTAAATTGTTCAGTTTATAGTTTGAGTCTGAATGTTTTATATTCAATTAGATCAACAGAAACATTTTCGAATATGCTAGAAGCTCTAGCATATTAAAATTAATTTCCACATATGAAAGCGGCCCAAAATTGAATTGGAAATATCAGATTCAGTATGATTTTTGCTGTTCACACTAGAAAACATTACATTTGAGCCATGTTCAACAGCAGTGTGAATGTAGCCATTCAGGTTAAAACGGTACAAAAAGGCATCTGCTTAGAGAATGCACGTTCTTTTCCATTGGTTTGAGTGTGTCATTGATTAAACAGAACATCACTGAGTGTGTGTGTGTGTGTGTGTGTGTGTGTGTGTCTTTGTGTGGTTCTGAGAAAGAGAGAGAGAGTATATTCCCCAGGGAGCCCAAATGACGTCACCGATTTGGGCATCAAGGTTACCTCACTCCCCGCACGCAGACCATGAGAGGAAGAAGGGAGGAACGGAGGAAAAACAGAAGGAAGGAAGGAAGGAAGACAAAAGACAGTGGGGAGAGTGCAAAGAGTTTTGATGGGTTTGCAGTGATATTGTACTCTTTTTCTTTGAAACAGGATGAAAACTTACAGGTTTAATCTCATATACACTTTAACTTGAGTGCCAAACCATTATTCTTTCTTTAAAAACACAAACTGTTGACCAACACACATTTGAAAGGAAAATGTAGGACTCTGTGCATATAACAAGCAAATTATGCAAATACATACAGCTTTTCTCAGCGCTACAGTGGAAATGCACCGCAGGAATCATGGCAGTGAGCCGTCCGAACATCACACTCCACTGAAGAGCTGTTCTTCACAGCATATCGTCATCTATTAACTGCTTACTTCCTGTCTTCCTGTGAATTTCAGCCTGTGTAACCATGACAAATAGCTTCAAATAGCTTCCCTCCTGTTGTCTAAGCTTTCACACAGGTGTGTGCACAGAAACCTTACACTGCAAAAAAACATTTTCTTAAACATTTTGTACAGTTGTCCAGTACAAATATATTAACACGATAAAAAAACAAGATAGATTTACTTAAGAAATAATGCATAAGATAATATCACTTCCATTCAAAGAATAATAAAATTGTGTAAAATTTTAAATAATAAAAATATATTTTTATTCACATAGCACCATTCATACATCAAATGCAGCTTCAAGTGCTACACAATTATGTATATTGTAATTTTTATTTTTTATTCTTCAATTTCTTACCAATGACGTTTTACTTGTTCTAACATAAAAATATATTTTGTAAAGGAAAAACAAGAATAATAAAGTTTAATATGCTAAATAAAATAAAGATATATTTTCTTAAAACAAATCTTAATATCCTATACAATTTCTCTTCTCAGGAGTATTTATCTTGTTTGAGAGCTTAAGGCTCTGAA